TGCTGCTGCTGCTGCTGCTGCTGCTGCTGCTGCTGCTACTGCTGCTGCTGCTGCTGCTGGAGGCGATTCGGGCTTGGTGGAACGCATCTGCATCTGCTGCTGCTGCTGCTGCTGCTGCTGAGTCTGGCCGCACCTGCAGCCCCAAAGTGAGTCTCTCTAAGGCCGGCATTTCGTTCAGCAGCCGCAGCAGCCCCCGCAGCCCCAGCGCTGTGTAGTCGGGCAGCACCTGCAGCAGCAGCAGCAGCAGCAGCAGCAGCAGCAGCAGAGCAAAACAGAAGCATGTGAAGCTCCGCGTTGAGCAGATGGATCCGAATCTGGCTGCGCTCCCAACGCTGCTTCCAGCGGCCCCGCGGCGTCCCGGGCAGGGCGCAGGGCCTAGGGCTTAGGGTTTAGGGTTTAGGGTTTAGGGTTTAGGGTTTAGGGTTTCTGTACGTTCCAGGACCAGTGGCGCGCGTGCAGCGGGAAGTAAGCCACTTGCATGCGGCGCACGCTGGGGCACTTGGCGTTGGCCAAGAGGTGCAGCCACTGCGGAGTTTGAGATCCGGAAATGAAAAGTTTTTTCAAAAAAGGAAATAAAAGAGGTTTCAAAGAAAAGGGAGGACTCAGTGGCGAAAAGTCCTGCAGCGGGGACTCGGGGGACCGCAGCAGCAGCTGCTGCAGGCTGCTGCAGTTCCGCGCCACCACTGCAGCAACTTCCTTCAGCGTCAGCGGGCTCCTGCTGCTGCTGCTGCTGCTGCAGCAGAAGCTCGCCGCGGGCACCTCCAGCTGCTGCAGCCGCTGCAGCTGCAGCAGCACGCGCTGCCGCTGCAGCCGCTGCAGCAGCAGCCAGGGGCCCCCCAAAGTCACAGAAGTGACGCAGCAAAAGGCCCCGCAGCAGTCGAAAACTGCTGCTCGCCAAGCTGTACATACACCCGAAACCCGCAGAATCTCCTCCGGCAGCAAATAGTTAAATATGGTGTGCAGACACCCCGTGGGCAGCCACGCGAAGACCCCCTCTGCGAGGCGCGGGCCTTCTACTGCTGCTGCTGCTGCTGCGCCTGCTGCTGCTGCGGCGCCCGCTGCTGCTGCTGCTGAAGCGGAAGCAGCAGCGCCCAAGGAAGCCTCCTGCTGCTCCCCCTCCCGCCCTGTGAGCCCGTAGGCTAAAGCCGATATCAGCTGCTGCGCAGCAGCAGGCACGGGCAGCAGCGCTGCGGCTGCTGCTGCTGCTGCTGCTGCTGCTGCTGCTGCTCCGGAAGCCGCTGCGCCCTCCTCTGCTGCAGCAGCCAAGGGGGCCCCCCCCTCGCCCTCAGAAGCAACAGAGGCCCTGCTGCTGGATATATGAGAAGGGGGGTCAAAGGAGCTCTCTGTCTCTACCCCGCTGCTGCTGCTGCTGCTGCTGTGGTTCATGATGATGCTGCTGCTGCTGCTGACGCTGTTGCTGATGCTGCTGCTCACGCTGCTGCTGCTCACGCTGCTGCTGCTGCGAGAAAAGCTGCTGCGGTCCTCGGAAAGCCGCCTCGCAGCGACAGCTGAGGAGCTGCTGCTGGAGTGACCGCCGCTTTCCTGTTGCTGCTGCTGCTGGGCGTGCTGCTGCTGCTGCAGCTGGTGCTGCTGCACCTGCCGCTGGTGCTCCTCGTACTCCTCTTCGTGCTGCTGCAGCAGCTGCTGCAGTATCTCCCCTTGCTGCTGGTGCTGCTGTAGCTGCCAGCGCAGCATCCGCCCATACTGACTGTGGACTTCGTGTTGCAGCTGGCGCTGCTGCTGCTGCAGCTGCTGCTGCCGCAGCTGCTGCTGCTGCAGCCGCAGCTGCAGCAGCTGCTGCTGCGCCTCCCTGCCCGCTGCCTGTCCCCCAAAGTCCTGAGGGCCCCTGGAAGGAAGCCCCCGGAAGGAAGGGGGGGCCCCCAGCTGCTGCGGGGATCCCAGCTGCTGTTGCTGCTGCTGCTGCTGCTGCTGCGGGGAGTCTGGCTGGAAGAGGGGCAGGGGGTGAGGGGACAGCCGCAGCAGCACGGAGGGCCTCAGGGGTTTCCTTTTGGCTTTATTTCTTTTTGGGTTTTGGGGGCCCCTCTGAAGAGCAGCAGCAAAAGCTGAAGGAGGTTCTGCAGCAGAGGGGCCCCTAGCTCGCTTCGGGGGGCCCCTCACCGCAGCAGCACTGCTGTTCCTGCTGCTGCTGCTGCTGCAGCTCGGCCTCCGGCTGCTGCTGCTGCTGCTGCCAGCAGCAGCCTCCCCAGGGCCCCGGGGCCCCTCCGAGTCAAGGGAAGGGGCCCAGGGGGGGCCCCAGACTTCGGGCTTTACGTGGCGGCCAATGTGAGAAGCTGCGTGAGGTCTTGTGGCTCCATTTGCGGCCTCAGCTGGAGCAGCAGCAGCAGCAGCTGCTGCTGCTGCTGCTGCTGCTGCAGCGTCATGATTCCCGCCAGTGTTGGCAGTTCCTGAAGAAAAAATGCCCGCCATGTTGAAGCTGCGGATACGAGAGCGTTCTCTTGGGGTGTATTTACACCTGAGTGGAACACAACGAAAATTCAACTCGCGCTGCTATTGCTACTGCAGCTGCTGCTGCCGGCGCTGCTGCTGCTGCCGCTGCTGCTGCTGCTGCCAGCTGGCAGCAGAGGGTCAATGAGGCTTCTTGGAGGTCCCGGGAGGCTCCAAGAGCTTAAAAGAAAAGAAGGAAATTCATTTTAAGAGCAGCAAAGAGCTGAGAGGCGGCGGGCACGGACGCCGCTGTCGCCCAGCGGCGACGGACCAGTGGAGCTGTTCCAGAAACGCGGAAAGAAAATGCGAACTGGAGCTCCAAAACGAAAACAAAGAACAAAAACTGAAAGATCGGAATATAAATGGAAAGAAAAAGCTCCTCAAGGCGAAGAAATCCGGCGAAAATCTCAGCAGAGTGGTATAACTGGAGCGCTGGCGAGCAGAAAGCTGGGGTAACTCAGCAGCAATTTCTGCGATCTTGTTTGCCAATAAATGCCTTTATTCTTTTTTTTTAATTTCAAACTCAAAAGATCCATTTAACTCTCCTCTTTAGCCGCTGCTGGCTTGTCCGGCCACCGCTAGCGGCCAGGAAGCCTCGGGTCAAGAGCCACGAGCTGCTGCGGGTGGAAAGCTGCTTCAATTGCAGACACATGACGGCCTCAGTTCGCGAAATGAAATAAACAAATAAATAATCGAAATGAACAAATAAAAGAAGCGAAAATTGCAAAATAAGAGCCGCTTTCGGGGGCTTGCGATCGTGGAGGGGTGGTGTCGATGCTGAAGGCCGCGCGCCCCTTCTGCTGCCTCTTTTCAAGTGCAAATTGAATTGAATTGAATTGAATTAAATTGAATTCTTAACAACAAAAGATCTCACCAGTTCAAATTTGAACGAATTTCCACGCGTGAATTCCCTTTACCTGGCTGATCGCAGCAGCAGCAGCAGCAGACCGCTGCCTCGCTGGCAAAGTTGCACAAGACCGCAGGCCGCGAGTCAAGCCAGAATTTGCAATTCAATTCACAAAGTGCATGCTTTTGATTCATTTATTTTGCATTTAATTGCATTTTAAGCCTCTTATTCTTTTTATTTGCAAATTTTCGCATTCAGTCCGCTGGATCATCGCAAAAAAGCCCCAAAATGCCAGTCTGCTGCCGCTCGAGCCAACTCAGTTATTGAATACACCAGAGTTACTCCAGTTTCTCCTTTTACGCTTTTCCCTCCAGCTTTCTTGTTTTTATAAAACTGAAAAGAAGGAAATTAAATCTTTTATAATTCAATTATTCAACAATTTTCATGTCCTGTCCCTGTCTAAATTCGCTGGACTTCAGTGGAAACGCCCCTGCCAGTAAGTTCAAAGTAAATGCCGATAATTCATAAAATGCAATTCAGTACAACACTAGTAACCTATAAAAGCTGACAAAGTGGCTTTTAAAGCCAAATCATATAACCCAGCAGCGCTGTTGACTACCTACAACTAAACCCTAAACCCTAAACACTAAACCCTAAACCCTAAATTCCAGCGGGGGCTTTTCCAGCCGCAGGGCCAGAAAGGCTTCCTTGTAGCCTCCAATTAAACCCTAGCGGGGGTTTAGAGATTCTCTTTGCAGCTGCCAATTTGAATTTCCTTTTTTATTGTCTTTGGCCTTTTGAGAACTTTGAAATACTTTGAAATGATTTAATTCCACTTTTATTTTTCTTGACTCCGAAGAGTTGGTGGATCCTGTCTGTCCAGCGGCTTCTTCGTGAATTATTGAATTTAATAATATTAAAAGATTAAATTTAAATATTTTAATTATTATTTTGAATTATTATTTTGAACAAATAAATTAGTTCAACTCTTTCAACTCCGCCACCACGAGAGTGCCCCTCGGGACGGAGTCGAAAAGGTCGTCTTGGGTGACAGATCCATTTCCTTTTTTTTCTTTTCGTTTTTTTCGAATTTTTGGATTTATTTGAACCTGAAAATTCGGCGAAGACCGAAATCAAAGTCCCGCAGGCAAACAGCAGCTTCTTGTTCGAAAAAAACCACCTTTTCTCCACTTATTTCCTGAAAAAGATCTCATTTTCGTTTCAAATTCAACTTTTATTTCCAAACTCCCAACACCCACGGCAGCCAAACCCTTCCGCAGAAAAGTCGCCACGCCTTCTTCTCTCGCCCAGTCCGTCGGGTTGCCTGAAAGGCGAAAAGCAGAAAATGACGCAAAATAAATGCTTTAAACGCGAAAGAAAGGAAGAATAATGGAAAATAAATGCTTAAAATGTGAAAAAAACAAAAGAAGAATGAAAAAGAATGATTTTAATGGAAAAAAGAAGAAAAAATGATTAACATTGATGCAATTTGCATGCACGATGGCATTTGTCTGCACAGGCAATTCAAGTTCAAGTTGAATCTGAATTTTTCCCAGGGATGGTGGAGTGCAGCGAAACGGAAAAAGAGGCGACTAAGAGGAAAATAAATAAATAAATAAATAAATAAATAAATAAATAAATAAATAATAAGTGAGTGAATAAATAAAAAGAATTAAAGAGATGAACTGACCTGCGCACAAGAGAGCCTTCGGCTGCCGCACGCGGTTTGGGGGATCTTCTTCGGCTGCGAAGTTCTGCGGCGAGCAGCAGATGAAAGAACTTCGAAATGGAAAATAAAATAAAATAAAACAAAAAAACAGATAAAATAAAATAAATGGGAAAGAATCATTAAATGCACCAAAAGGAGCAAATAAATGAGCGATTCAACTTGTTCAAATGAAAGGCTCAAGAGCACGAAGTGAAATAAGAAACCAAAAGACCGAAGCAGTTTAAACAAACAAACAAACAAACAAATAAACAAACAAATAAATAAATAAATAACAAATGACAAGTAACAAATAAATAAATAAATAGATAACTTTGCTGCCAACTCACAATGCGCAGCAGCAAACAGGCGGGGTCCTGGTTGCAGCTGTTGTCGACTTTGCTTCTTTTGTTTCAATTTTGCTTTTGAATTTAAGTTTTTACTTCTCGAGGGCTTTTTGAATTGCAGCAGTTGAAGTAATTCGAGGGAGTTCCCGCAAGAGGTCTTCGCCGTGGCAGCCGGCCTGGTGGGATTTCAATTCAAGTTTTCAAGTTTTGAACTTTTCGAAATTTCAAGTTGCTAAAATTTCGTTCTTTTTGTTTCTTACAGTCCCTGTGTTCAGGAGAAGATCGAAGAAGCTGCTGAGCACTGAAGAGGAAGTTGAAAAGAATTAATTTGCAAAAACTTGAAAACAAAAATGTTGAATTCGGCAAACCCCGCAGCGCCTCCCCCTTCACCTGGGTGGTCCAGCCCCACGCCTTGCTGCCGCGTGACCACTGGTCACCTGCACAGAGCCTGCAGCAGCAGCAAACTTCGGGCCGCAGCAGCAGCAGCAGCAGCAGTTCAAAACAGACTCACCACTTGGCCCCCGTCCCGGGCAGCAGCCCGTGGGCGAAGGTGGCGGGCCAGGGCGGCCGCAGCTCGCGGGGGGGCCCCGAGGAGAAGAAAGTGCATTTGGGGTCTTTTGAGCAGGTTTTTTTTGCTGCTGCTTCGTCCCGGATCTCCAGCTGAACTCGGGGGTTCATGAGCGCTTTTTCGGGGCCCCGGGGGCCCCAAAAGGGTTTCATTTGCGCAAAAACGCCCGCCTACGCTTGCTGCAGAAGTGGCCTTCAAAATGCTGCTGCCTTCGCAGTATCTGCGGCTGTTCGGCACCACCAGGTAGTCCTCAGCGGGGTACTCGTAGGCGGGGGGAAGCGGGTCGATCCAGGGCTCTCCGGGCCCCTCTGTCGGCTCTGTTTCCTCAATTTCATTAATTTTATTGTTTAGTTGCTGCGCAGCAGTTTCTTTCGGCGGTTGTTGCGCAAATCGCAGCAAAAACGACCGCCGGACGCCCGGGGCCGCGGCGGCCGCCGCCCGCCGGCCGCCAGCAGCAACGGGAAAGAAACGAAACAACAAATATCCATAATTCACAAAAAAAATGAATAATAATGATGTTGGAGACATTTCGAAACGCGTTCCCGCAAACGGAAACCGAAAAAGCGGGCGCGCTGCTCGCTGCGCCGCAGCTGAGGTGTACGTACACCCCAGACCGCCGCCCCCAGCTTTCCCGTTCAAATGCGAACTGGGAAACTTTTTTCTTCGCTTTTCTTCTTTTGTCACTCTTTAACTGAATATAAATGTGTATTTCAGCGCGAAACGCGGGCCCGCTCATCGCAAACCCTAAACCCTAAACCCTAAACCCTAAACCCTCAGGTCCACTTGAACACCGGCATCTCAGCTTCCTCAGTGACGTAGAACTCGCGGGGGAGGTTCGTGTCCACGAAGGAGCTCGAAAGCCAAGACAAAGCTGTGAAGTAAAAGGCCCTTTCGGCCACAGAAATGGAGCTCTTGGGGGCCCACACCAGCAGCGCCCTGCAGACACAGCAGTAGCAGCAGCAGCAGCAGCAGCAGCGGCAGTCAGCAGCAGCAGCTAGCTGCAGAAAGCAGCAAGTCTGCTGCAGGAGGCCCTTGCTGCAGCAAAGAAACACTGCATGCCTTTGCAGCTTTTCCCCCACAGCAGCAAATGCGCTGCATGCGGCCTTTTTCAGGTGTACAGACATCCAGCGAACGGCAGCAGCAGCAGCTCGCAGAGGACGCAAGAAGGAAAGAAGCGGAGAAGCATCAGAACTTTTATTTCTGCAAAGACGGAGCTGGTGTTGAATCAAAAGGCCCACCACTCCGGAGAGTTGGAGCGCATGTCAGTGCGAAAAACAAAAAGAGAAGGACCTTCTTTTTTCGCGCAGCTGCTAATCCAATTGAGCCGCTCTTTTCTGCTGCTGCCGTCAAACGGCAAAGTCCCCTTCACCGAAATCTGGCCTGAAGGCAGCAAACAAGACCTCAAGCCTGCTGCAGCAGCAGCTGCTGCTGCTGCTGCAGCGCCTGCAGCAGCAGCAAGAGCTGCAGCAGGAGCTGCAGCGGGAGCTGCAGCGGGAGCTGGGGACTACAGCTGGTTCTCCAGCAGCCCTTCCTGGTCGCCAAACCCTAAACCCTAAACCCTCGGTTGAGAGCCGTGACGGACAAGTCTCTGGATCGACGAGAAGATGGATAATGCTGTCCTTGCAAGTCCCTTGTCGAATCTCGTCCAGAAGGAGTGTGGCGTCTGCGTGGAGTGTATATACACCTGGCTCCCGGGGCTCCCGCGTTTGCAAGTTTTCAGAAAGCCCCTTTGGGGCTTCCATTCTGTCTCGAAGCAAAAGAGTTGAATTTGGCTTTTAAAAGAAGAATAAAATGGATTAAAAGAATTAAAAAGGGTTTTAATGATTCAAAAAACAAGCGGAGACCAGATTGCCGGCGAACTTGAACGGAACTGAACTGAATGGACTCGCCCCGGGAAACTCGGGGAATGCGGCAAACAGAAGGCTCTTTTATGCAAAGTTGTGATAAATTTAAAATAAAATACTTTTTTATTTTCATTTAATTCAAATTTACCCTTTTTCCGCAGGAAACCTCCAAACTTGAGCTTCCGCGAGAAGTTGAACGGAGGCGCCGCTGGGGCTCCGGACCGGCGCGGCCACTGAAGAGCCCTTCGGGGTGGAGTTGCTGCATGCGCTGCTCTTTTGACAATTAATAAATCATAAATGTAAAATGTCTAATATTTAAAACTTTAAAAAGTGAAATGGTCGAAGCGGAACTCAAAGTGAGCCTTTTCATTCACTGGAGGTGCGCATACACCCCGTGGTCCGCAGCAGCCGACACACAGATGATTGGAAACTTCAGTTGTGACTCTACACTAAAAGTTTTTATATTTTGCGCTATAATCTTTATATTTTTATTTCCATTTCATTTTTAATTCAGGATTTTCAATTATATCGGGCTTTCCACCCAACTTCGCGTCCGCAGGCGCGTCTTCGCCGCAGATCGGCTTTCTTTGGAGCCTTTTCCATTTTGCAGACTCTGCAGGAAACGAGCAACAGTGGGGCTCAAGCGGCTCCCTGGCAGCTTTTCGCAAGATAAAAAAAGAAATAAATTAAATGGATTTCCCCATTTCTCACGCGCTTTTTAAAGTCCGGCGTTTTCGCCGTTTTGAATGCAGGTCGTTGAGGTGTACGTACACATCAACGATCGCGCGTGCAGCCACGGAAAGAACGCCGCGTGAGACAGAACGAATTCGAGTTGAAATAAAGCATTTATTACTATTTTATTATTATCTTTTGCTATATTGTGGCCTTTTTCTTGCTTTTTTAAGTCCATATTTCTTTCTTTCCACTCTCCGAGCATCCACTGTTAAGAAACCCGCGCGCTTCAGCAGCGGCCGCACCGCCGGCTGCTGTCTGCACAGCTCGCGGGCCACCGCCAGCATAATTGCGCCAGACTGGCCCCCGAGGCCCCCCCCCTTCGCCTGAAGCGAGCAGCGCAGCAGCAGCAGCAGCAGCAGCAAGAGCAGCAGCAGCAGCAGCAGCCGCCTCTTTTCAGTCATGTGCGCAGGTTTGAGGCGGCAGCAGTCAGCGGAGAAGACACAACCAGCCAAACAAGCGTCCAAACCGCTACAAAGGGCTGCAGCAGCAGCAAAAGAGCAGCAGCAGCAGCAGCAGCAGCAGGACCTCGGCGACAATGTCGTATTTGTCCTGGGCCTTGGCCTCGATGAGGGGGGCCCTGCAGTTCAAAAGCCAAAAGTCATTTTGCTGCAGATACTCTTCGCCTTCTCTTCCGTTTATTTGCAGCTGCCCGCTGCCCCGCAGCAGCCGCACCCGCGCGTACGCCCTGAGACGCACACTCCCACCTGCTGCTGCTGCTGCTGCTGCTGCTGCTGCGGGGCGTGCTGCTGCTGCTGGCGAGCTGCTAGGCGTGCTCGTGCTACGGGTGCTGCTGCTGTTGGGGCTGCTGCTGCTGCTGCTGGCGCAGCAGCAGCGAACGGGCGGAATCACGGTTAACAACAGCAGCAGTAGCAGCAGCAGCAGCAGTAGCAGCAGCAGCAGCAGTAGCAGTAGCAGCAGCAGCAGCAGCACAGCAGCAGCAGCAGCAGTAGCAGTAGCAGCAGCAGCAGCAGCACAGCTCTTACTCCTTGCGCGTCCCCCACGAGAAATCCCTTTCTCTCTTTTTGACTTCTTGAGTTTCCATTTCCTCCTCTTTGGGGCCCACAAAATAATAAGACCCGTCGTCCTCCCCGGCTCTAAACATCTGCTGCTGCTGCTGCTGCTGCTGCTGCTGTTGATGCTGTATGAATGAGGCGTGAAGTCTGAAGCCCGTCATCTGCTGCTGCTGCTGCTGCAGATAGGCCCTTTGTGTTGCTGCTGCTGGGGAAAGAAAACTAAAGATTGGAGAAGAGGCAAAAGAATTATAAATTAAAACATTTGCGGCTGCAGCAGAGGCAAGAGGCTGCTGCTGCTGCAGCATCACAGTTGCTGCTGCTCCCAGCTCAGCTAAACACCCCAACATCAGCAGCAGCAGCCGCAGTAGAGGCCGCAGCAGCTGCTGGTGCTGCTGCAGCCTCTTTTGCTGCTGCTGCTGCACCTGCTGCCGGCAGCAAGGCTGTCTTAGGGCCAACAGAGCAAGCCCCGTTTCTTGAGGGGCCTCTGGGGGCCCCCCGGGGGCCCCATCAGGGGGCCCCCCTGGGGACCCCCTCGGGGGGCCCCTAGGGGGCCCCTGTGCAGAACCCGAAAGAAGCACCGCTAAAGACCCCCTGCAGAATTCCCCTAGGGGCCCCCCTAGAGGGCCCCCACGGAGGCCCCCTGGGGGGCACCAGGGCTGCATGGATATGCTGGCGGGGCCCCTGGAGGCTCGCCGGGGGCCCCTGCGAGGGGCCCTATGGGAACTGGAGTTTGGGGGAGAGAAAAACGAATCCTTTTGAGTAAAACAGATTAATTATTCAAATTAATTCTTTTTAATTCAAAAAAATGAAAAATTAAAATTCCAGAGCTCCAGGAAGAGCGCTCTGGCCCGCTGGACCTGTTTGCCCGAGCTGTCGAGACACCCCAGAGGCCCGGGGGGCCCCCAGGTGTCTTTGGGGGCCCCCGTGAGTGTGCTGCGGATAAAAGGGAATATATTTATAAATTAATTAAATTAAATTAAATTAAATACCTTTTTTGTTCCCCTCAGCACAAAAAATCAGAAATATAGAGAAAAAGTTCCCCTAGTTACTACACAAACACAGGGGGCCCCCACGGGGGCCCCGGGGGCCCCCCAGGGGCCCCCAGGGGGACCCTGAGGGCCCCCTGGGGGCCCCCAGCTCTTTTTGAAGCTAAGACACCTGGAAATGTATTATATTTTTGTGGTTTTGTGCGGATTTGAGTTTTATTTTGGGAAAAGAATGAATAAATGGCAATTAAAGGGGTAAAATAAGAAAACCCAGAAGCAAGAACAGCAGCTACAGACACAAACTTCTCAAAGCCAGCTGCAGCTGCAGCAGCAGCAGCAGCAGGAACCCTCTGGGGGCCCCTGGGGGATGTGCTGCTGCAGCAGAAGAAGGGGTCTTCCTAGGCCGCGCCCGGTGTTGCTGCTGAGCGGGCCACCCCGACTGCTTTTGCTGCTGCTGCTGCTGCTGT